GGAATGAGCTTTTGTATCATAAAAAATTTGAAGAGAGAGAGAGAGAGAGAGAGAAAGAAGGGGGAGGGAGAGAGATAGAATAGAATATTTATTTATTAAACACTCTGGGACAGGTCCCCTGAAGCGTTAGACAAGCTGCACAGAAAAATAATTACGAGTCAGAATGAGCTTTTGTATCATAAAAAATTTGAGGAGAGAGAGAGAGAGGGAGAAAGTAAATAGAATCTTTATTTATTATACACTATGTGACAAGTCCCCTGAAACGTTAGACAAGCCGCACAGAAAAATAATTACGAGTCGGAATGAGCTTTTGTATGATAAAAAAGTTGAAGAGAGAGAGAGAAGTGCCCTTTTACGAGCCTATTATACTCGCTAGATAAAATACGGCAGAAATTTAATGGCGACCATCCTGTCGCGTATAAGCGAGGTCGTGGGTTAGAGAAGCAAACAAGAGAGCCACACACATCGATCCTAATTATTATTATCAGCGCTTTACCAGCTATTCTTTCATCATCATTGATGCATCGGAGATCGGGCCGAGCGGCCGGGCTCGATACGGGCTAATTGCGACGTTCGTTCGTAAAAATGGATCTCTTTCGAGCAATTAACCGCATTCTGTGCGATTTCATTTAAAAACCGCGATAACGAGCGACCGGGTTTGGCGGATGCATACATGCGTGCGCCAATAATCGGAATAAATTCGTGGCGCGTGCAGATCCGTTTCTGCGATCGCACGGCCACTCGAGATGACTTGTGAAAATTATCGGCGCGGCCGTTAATGGCGTATACATGTATTTGTACCGGCGAGAAAACTGGACGGCATATAAAACTGCTACTTTCTCGACATAAAACAGTCTCGTACAATAATTGTTGTTATCGATGTCATTAATTCGCCGATCAACTGTCTTCTTTTATCTTATTACTTCTTTTTTATATGTATCGTAATAATCGCGCGCGACATTTACAGAGCTGAAATACCGAGGCATTCGTTTGTCCTGTTACAGGCCGCCGGTCTAGATCTCAAAGAAAACCTGGGGGCTGGAGCCGCAGCAGCGTGGCCTTATCCCTCGATGTACCACCCTTACGATGCCGCTTTCGCAAGTTATCCCTTCAACGGGTAAGTCTTATCAATATTTTCCGAATTATTCACCGTACGAACTGCATGGCGTTACACGTTTAGCGCAATGACGTCGATATTTACTATGCATACAGATTCGAACCCGAGCGAAAACACCAGCCGTTTAATTAGATAACAAACTGCATCTCGAATGCAAGCGAGCCGAACGAATTTCGATTATTGTTTCAAACCGGACTGTACAATTGCCAAAAAACTGACCCGCTGACTTACAGATAGCGTCTGCGGTATCAGAAAAGTCCGCTTGCACGAGGAACGCAAGCAATCCGAGCGAAATGAACGTCGCGCGCGCGCGCCATGCTAGTTCACACACAGGGAGATAAAAATTGCCGGAAAGAGATTCTCGCGAGTGATAACAAATGCCACGCTACAATTTTATTTATCACCTCGGCGCTGAAGCAGACGTGATAACTGTTTTAACACCACCGAAACAATGTTATACTTGAAGAAGTATTCCCGCTTCGTAGCAAGAACGTAGCGTTCTTTCGCAAACCTACGAGACGAATCTTAATTACCTCGTAATCTCCGAGATGCGCCACGTTATTTTCAACGTCGACGCGCTTTAATGCCTTTTCCGTCGCGAGAAAGAGGAAGCGAGAGAGAGAGAGAGAAGGAGAGAGAAATCAGGTTGTAACGCTCTCCTTTTCCTCTCCACAGTCGATACGCTGGTGCACGAACGGAGATAAGGCGAGAGAAACACATAAACATTCCAATAAATTAGCGCTCAACTGACCCGGGACTGTCGCCACGGCGCGTTTTTTCTCGCGCGCTCGAGATCAGTCGTGGCGAAAGGTCTCGTATGATAAATTCAAGTCGGATCACCAGGACAATGAAGATTAAAATTCGGAGAGAGCGTCCGGCGGCGGCGGCGCGGGCGACGCGACGTTGCGAGCGATTGACGCGCGAGGTCATCCGAAATATCGATAATTAACGTTTAGTCGCCGTTTCCGGGGCCTCGCCCGTTTATGCCGCGGGTGCTCGAGTCGAGAAACTCCGACCGTCGTAAAACGTTTCACGCGCGACCGGCGAGCTACGACACTGTGCGCGTGCACGATCTTACGATGGCCGTATCTATGTAAATGCGACCAATAACTATGTAAACTAACTAATTACCGCTGGATATTAGCCGGCCGTTTAAAATATTCCCGCGTGAATATCACGGCTGGCTCGTTTACGCCTGAATCACAGTGAATATAGGTCTCTAATGAGATTTTTACCGAGAGAGCGCATATGCAACTGTTGAAATTTTATTCCGAGCGTTGCGGTTTTATCTCTCTATACATATAATATCTAGCGATGACGCATGTCAACAAATTTGATAAAGATTCAATTCCTAGCGCTCTTTTGCGTCAATGCCATTGATCGAGGCGTCCGATATCCCGCTGCACCCGGGGAAAATAAATTATATGCACGAGAGATAATAAAAATAGATATATAGATATATATATGTATAAGAGACGATCACGTATTTTGCCGCGACACGAAGGGACGGGCGGGAGAGACGCTCCTCTAAAGGCGAAGTGGCGAGCTTGGTTGACAACAGCGGTTAACGCGTGGAATCTATACTGCCGTGCGTGACGCACTTCCGGCGATGGTCGCTTCGTATGCAAGGAAACGATCGGGTAATACAGCTTGCTTAGCATCCATTCGCTCTAGTCGTGGCCGGGCGACCGAGGTCCTCCTTTGCGGGGACCCACCGCGCCGGATCCGCGGGCCCCGCGCCGCACCGGAACTACACGCGGGTTCCACGGACTGTCAACGGGCGATGAAGACGAGGCGCGCGATCGTAGCCGCACCTGCGCCAGTCAGGCTCGTGGACGCGAGGACACGGGATGGCAATCGAGCGTCCCCCTTTCCGAATAAAATTTTACACCCATCTCTCTCGTCGGGTTTCTCGGAAGAGACGCGAAGGGCTGCCCGAAGGAGTAGACCGATTTTTTCCTTCTTGCGGAATTACGCTTATTCAGCTAATGCGCCTCGGCGACACGCCCCGTTCTCGCGTTTCCTTCGCGTTTCGAGACGCGAACGGACTCGCACGACGTACGTGAAAGCTTTCCTCGACTCGTATATAAAGCGTGTTACGTTTCAACCCTTTATCGAATCGTACGCGCGCCCGTATCTTCTAACACAATCGCGCCGCGTAGAATTAGACGGAAACGCTTACGTTAATTAGTTGAAAAAGTAGTGCGCGAGTCTCAAGGCGCTTGTTATTGACGTATCTTATCGTTAAAAGGATGGAATGTTACTTGAATTCTCGTTCTTGCGGGAGCGAAAACTGACTTTGAAGTTTAACATGTACTCACTTTTATTTATCATTCTTCCGGGTTAACTTGTCCCACATAATATACATATATATACACAATTTTCTTATACAGTTTCTCAGCGCGCAACTTTCTCCTAGCATCTAACCGGCACGTCTGAAGCGCGAGGAATTACTGCAGCTCGCGATATAACTTGTTATTAAATGAAAAGCCCATCCTTTTAACGTACAGAATTAACCATTCTCTACTCTTATCGCTTAAATCGGAATCTATTATAACGTTACTTTCGAGGGGTAACCGCTAATCGAAATCATGTACACCAATGCCTGCTAATGCCCGGTGGGCATTACTTTATCTTATTATCTTGTTTTATCATGCGCAGGGAACTCGCAAAATTCGCAGCGAGTGTTCTCTGCGAGTTGTGAGATTTCTCCGAGAGTTCTTTGCGAGTCCCCCGAGTTCTCATGCGCAGCTAACTCGCATAGAACTCGCAAAATTGGCAGCGAGAGTTTTCTGTAAGTTCTGGGATTTTCTGAGAGCTCTCTGCGAGTTTCCCGAGAGTTCTCATGCGCAGGAAACTCGCAAAATCGGCAGCGAGAGTTCTCTGCGAGCTCTCAGTGTTTCCTGGGAGCTCTCTGCGAGTTCCCCAAGAGTTCTCATGCACAGGGCACTCGCAAAATTCGCAGCGAGAGTTCTCTGCGAGCTCTGAGCTTTTCTGAGAGTTCTCTGCGAGTTCCCCGAGAGTTCTGATACGCAGGGAACAGGGAAGAACTCAATATACAAATTTCCAATTTGCACCTTTCTTATTATATCTTTATAATGCCCAAATTAATGCGCTAGCTTAGAGTGTAGGGAGGTCTAGGTTCAAATCCTGGCTGAGGTAATATTTTTCGCAAGAACTTCCTTTAATTAGAACTTGCCAGTTGTCTCGATTACCAATTTCCTACATTGATTATCTTATCATATCTTTATAATGTCCCAGCAAGACTCAGTGCCCAAACTGATGCCCAAAAAATGCCTAGCAATGCCCAGTAATGCCGTAAATTTGTACACCACAGTGCCCCCAGCGGTTTACCCCTCGGTCACTTTTATTGACCACGCGACAGCTGTAACTCCATCGCGAAACGATTAATTATTATCCTCGCGAGCGTGCGATGCGCGGCGGAGAGTTTTCGGTAACGCCCAAGCCCGGAACTATCGCTTGAATCGGGAACCAGGGAGGTGTGAAGGATCTGGCGCATTATGCGCGAGCGTGCGCGACGACCACTTAACATGAGCATACAAAAAGCCAATAATGCAGCGTTGGCATGCACGGCCGCAAGGTCTCGGGATCGTGCGGGTTAACGGTCTCGTCTTTCCGGCGGATTGGCCCTGCTTCCGGAGACATATAGGGTAGACAATAAGAAAGCGGCGAGCACAGGGCCCCCCCCCCCCTCCGTCGTACGGCAACAGGCCCGCTTACGTCGTCGTCGCCTGGTCTATGCCCGGCGTATCGTTGGGCGGCGATCGCCGATACGTAGTATTATTAAGCGTGTCGACGTACAACGACACCGGTGTGTCGGCACGCGCTTCGAGTCTCGAACGAGCATCCCGAGCGGGCACGGCGCGTGAATCCTAATGTATATGCCTACAAAGTCACGAGATGTGAACGAGCGCGGTTATCGGTGGAGAAAAGAAGACTCCCTCCCCTCGAGGAACCACATTTGTCCGTCATGTTAAATCGCGCACAAACACGTGCGCTCTCGCGAGAAAAGCAGTCTTCCAAGTTAACGACGGAATTGCCTTAAGGGCTGTGTCCATGATGCTAGAACTTGGTCCGAGTTTATCATCAAGCTGTTATGGAATAGCTGCAAGTTGATTGGCTACACATTTCTCGGAACTAGAACTTGGACCAAGTTGTAGCATCGTGGACGCAGGCCTTCAGCGCAGCGAGATAAATTAGCGCTATCACGATGATCTTGAAAGGAGAGTTAACGCTTCGCGGCCGAAGGGCGCTCCTCGGTGTAAAGGCCAGTTGAATCGTCATTTGGAAACTAAAGGATGCCTCAACGGTAGCGTTGCTCCTCCGCTCGATGCCGATAGGACTCGAAATATTTCGTGGCTAATGAGACGAGGCGGGGCTGGTATCCCGCACCCTTCGGTGCCCCGCCCGTGAGATACGTCTCGCGTGGATGATGTACGGCCGTTTAATGACCCGGTTTCAGTCCCGGGGGACGGTTTTTGCCCGGTCGGTAAGGGTTGAGGGGAACGTGTACGGCGGAAAAGTCAGCGACACTCGTTTTTCGTCAGACGGAGGGATCGCGGGGTCCGCGCCCGCGCGCGCAGCTTCGTTTCTTCGGCAACATGCGGATGACAGCGATTCGTCGAACCGCGTGACAGGCAGCCCGCGGAATGCACGCCGCTCTTTCCCCATTAGGCTTAATGGACGTAGATTAGTCCTGCCCCGGCTATGTATGCGCGTCAGGATTTAATGACTTGGCCGCACCCCTCTCCACCCGATAGCGCTGCCTTCTCTCGACGGTCGAACGGACGTTGCCGAGAAATGGCGAAACGCTGCACCGATTGCAGTGCCAGAGCGAGGGAAACCGTGCGTTCTTGACCGAGCGCGATCACCAACTTTAGAAAAATGTCCAAGATGAGATTCGGCGTTGATCGGCGAGGCCGTTTCGGTTATACGAAGTAAATAATTCATGAGAGTATTACACGTCTCGATTAAGAGGT